TTGTCTAGGGATGCTCTGGCACTGGAGGCGGCTTTCAAGGCTGATTCACACACTGTCTTTATTGGTTGAAGGTGCACATTTGGTACGTTTTGATGTACCTTTGAAAAATGAAGGGGAGGGGGTAAAGCCTACCAATAAGTGCCAGAGTTATTAGGAAGCTGGCAGACGCTCGTGGGCATGTGTGGCTTATAACTGTGAGCCAGAGGCAGCACAGTGAGGGGGTGGGGGCCACAGGGCATCCTTGAGAGCCCTGGCAAGGTGTGTGGCCACCTTTTGTCTGTGTGGTGTTCTGTCCAGCGCTGGAAACCTGAGCAGTGGTGGAGCATGTCAGCGGGGTGCCTGTGCAGCAGCTTGGACACTGAACTGATTAAGGGTAGAGAAAGTTTTAGGAACTAACAAAGTGGATAGGAAAGAGAGAGAGAGGGGCGGGGTCTAGACTGTTCTACAAGAAAAACCTAAGAGTAGCATTCCACTGCCAAGGTACTTTACCTAAAGTCCTGTCTAGCTGTAGCTTGCTGCCCCCTGTGGGATCTTCTTTCCTCTTCTTCTTTGTATGCAAAGACATTGCTGTATTCCAACAGAGCAGAGACAGGTGGTGGAAGGCACGGCAGCTACTGTGGCTCCTTCAAGCTGTAATAGAGTTTCCGACATCCAGGTACGGCCTGGTGAACTTCTGTAATTATAATTGATCTCCTGACTACAGAGATGAGTTCCCCTTGGGGAAATGGCTGCTTTGGAGGGTGGACTCTATGGCATTCTACCCCACTAAGGTCCCTCCCCAAGCTCCACCCCCAAATCTCCAGGAATTTCCAGCTGGATGCCCTAGGCCATAAGCGGTCACTTCCTGCATTGGAACCACAGCAACTCAGATGCAAGGAGTGCTGGTTTGCTGCATGGCCACAGTGTTCTGCCAGTGTTCTGTGGTGGTGTACGGTTCGCTGTGCTTGAGACTGAAGCCAGCTGGCTTTAGCGCTGATGCTTAGCATCCGCTTGCACTACGAAGGTAAGCACTATCTCCCTTATATATAAAAGCCGAATGGTGGTGGCACTTCTCTAGAACATTCCATGCGCTCCGGAATTGGTTGGCACCCTGGTGTGTCACTCAGAATCTGTCCCTATCCACTGGCTGCATTGCTCGAGTCTCGCCTCCAACATTCTAAACAGGTTGCTGTTCCTCTCCCCCCCACAGCCAGTCAGAACATAGAGGTTATTTGCATATGCAGCCTCATTGGCCTTTGCCTCGGAACACAGAGGTCGTTTGCATATGCACCTTGATTGGCTTTTGCCTCTAACATGCTAAACAGTTTGCTGTTCTGAGGTAAAATGTGTCCAATCTCCAGGTGAGGGCTGGAGATCACTCAGAATTACAACTGCTTTCCAGATGGCAGAGATCAGTTCCCCTGGAGAAAATGGTGGGCTCTGTATCCTTAT